GATGCCCAAAGGAAGCTGTGATAACTGAGGAAGCCCACCCTGGGGCAGACTTCTGTCAGGACCTGCGGACCCATGAAGAGAAGAGCCCACAACTAGAACAATTTCGCTGGCAGGACTTGTGAGCCCATGGGGGCCCACACTGGAACAATCTGTTTCTTTGTTTGGAAAAAGCAAACAGGATTCGCTATCATCTAAATCACTTTGTATCTTATGTCCCTTGTAACATAGACTGTGACTAACTATATCAAAGGCTTCAAAATAGCTGATATTAAACAAAATAATGGAGCAGCAATCCTGCAGCACTGCTTTCTGACTGTACCAGTTTCTATCTTGTCTGCATGTAAATAACTGATTTACCCTAATAATAACTGGGAGAAACAAAGCTTTGGTGGAAGAAATGACCAGCTCTTTGAAGCTTTAAAAGTTTTATAATACTTCAGTAATTTAGAGAACAAATGCATATAAATGTCACAGAAGTATAAACACAGAAATATAACCATGAAGAATATACCTACAGCAAACACCTATGTTCACAGTAATATATATATATCCTATTATATAGGAAAGATTCTGTGTGAGACATACATGTCCGTATAAAACAATGGTTAATTTATATCAGCATTATTTGTTATCTAACTTGTAAAAGTTTGTACAAATTGGAAGAAATTTAACAAATCATTTTTGAAACTATTTTCTTAAAAAGCTTGTTATTGTTCCTTTCCCCAATATTCACCTTTTTTAATGTTAAGTGGAAAGCCTTCAGAATCCTGTAATGAGCAGGAGTCTTCCACTTTTATATAACAAAAGTGACTTTATGAAGAAGGTTAAACACCTATAAACAAAACCACACAACCCAAAATCATTAAAACATTTCATACTGAAAGCCAGGTAAACCAAATCAAACACCCTTTACAAAACTTACATTCTTTAAATGTAAGGCATTTTCCCTTCTAAAAAGCTGCAAAGTCAATCATTGCCTAAAAGAAAACACCATTCCAAAGGCCCAAAGAAGTGTGAATGTCCATCACAAAGCAAAATGTTCTATTAGCAGAGTACCTTGTGCACTATAAACAAGACAAAAGAAATTGCATTCACCTACTTTCAAACTCAGCACATTATTGGAGGAGAGAAAGTCCTCCAATTAAATCAAACATGCTTGTGTTTTAGATCAAATATAATTGTGTTCAAATGCTCTGGAATACTATTTATTGTTACCTGCAATACTATGTCAGTATTGTCTGTTGCAACATTTCTCTCATCTAAAGTGAAATTAAACCAGAAATACTATCCTGACTAGTAACTATCTGGCAGATGGAATTAGACAGAGTTAGAATGATATCTGTGAAAATTCAACATCAGCAAAAGAATTTTTTTCTTTAAAATTTGTTATCTTGCTAACAGATAAGAAAGATACTGAAGCATTATTAAGAGAGAGAAAAATATCAGTGTATGATAGTAGGTGAAGTCAGAAAGTGTGGCTTCCAAAGAAATCCTATCAAAAAAAGAGTTGGAGAATTGGTGGTAGAGTTTTGAAGAAAATAAATTTTTAAGGAAAAAAAAAAAAGAAAAATCTTGATCCAAACTAGTTCACATAACATTGCAGTACTGAAGGAAGTCTTTTAGAGATGCTTAAATAGATTAATCCTTCACACAAAGGTTTCAAATCCTTTTCATTATATCTTTATTATAAAGACTCTTTTTAAAAAAGTAAGTATCTTTGAAATGTTAATTGAATAATTCAGATTCTCCATTCAAAAAGACCTGAAAAACAACTTCAGTTCTTTGATGGAAATTGGTAATTTGCGCCTTGTCCCTCCTGGACAGGATGTGGTGCATATGTAAGCCCAAGAGTGTTTCATTCAGTGAAGTAACTATTTAAGGAGACTGATTATCAAGGACTGCAGATTTATATGACCAGAGGCTTTTGAAGACATGAGAGAGAGTCATACACTGAAACTACTTGAATAACATTCTTCTACAGAGCAGAGAAGTTAATAGAAAAGTTGCAATTTTACCTACTGTTATTGTAACAACACGTATTTTTATCTTACTTGCATAAGATTTCTCAACTGGTATGCACCAGGTGTGTTGCAACAGTGCAGTCCATCAGAAGAGGACCTGACTGTTAGCATACAAGACAACCAAGCAAGATGATTTCTACTAGATCTGGAGTCAACATTTATTTCTACAATTCGGAAGTGGTAAGGACTAGCACAGAATAATACAAGCCGCAATAGAAGCATCTATTTCCTCATACTACTCTGCTTTTGAGGAAGTATTTAGGTTAATAATTTATGAATATTCATCAATTCCTTAGACATTGACTAAAGCTCAGAATATTTATGCCTCAGAAAACCAAAGTGTCAAAGCCTATGATTACATTGCTAGCAAATTCCATTGGCAATATCGAATTCAGCGACCACTATGAAGTTACTGCTGCAGAGAGAATAAAATTTTAGCAATGCTTTTTCTGGATATTGATAATGGCAGAATCTTAACTGGACATCTTAATTCAGAGTTGCTCTAGTAGTATGAATGTAATCTAGTAAAAGCTAGCATCTGTGAGATGAATATCATAGTTCAAATACGACTGCACATCACATTTCAAAACGGAACAAAGTCACAACTTTCCTATTGACAGGGAGTTTAACAAACATGAAGTAAGCTGTATCACTCCTTGAGAAACGTTCCTCCAGCATGAACTCCTGCAAAATACTCATGCAGAGCTTTCTCATTCCTGTATCTAACTCCACAAGCCAACAAGACAGCTCTTTCTAAAGTAATGTTCACCAGAAACTAAGATAAGGAGTTAAAAAGTGTTGGCAAACCCTGAGTTAAATTTGGATTTATGGAAATACTATTTAGTTATGATATGCCAGCAGAGACCCATGTGAATTTTTACAAATACAATCAAGTTTTGCCAGACACAATTGAAAAAAAGAGATTTCCTCTACACAAGTACTGAGAGAAGACACAAGTAAGTAAACCTTTAGGACAAATAGACAGTCAGTTATGAGATTTTCTTACATTCTCTGCCCATTGTAAGTTTTTCTTGAAAACACTGTAAAGATAACATAAGTAATATATAATCCTGATTTATCATATAAGACAGCAACTGGTTTCTTTCAATAAACTTACAGGCTACAGTCTAGAACTTACCAGAGTGAAAAACATTTTAAACAGTTCTGTCTTATCACCCAAATCATCTTGACCCAGTTTATGCAAAAGTGTCATAACTTCAATGCTTAAAACGTACACTCAAATTACATGTTTTCTTCATTCTTTCCCAACACTTTAAAAAATAACAATTCTTTCTGGTTAGCAAATAAAGATATCCCTTATATTTTTTTAAATAAAGGTTAAAAATACAACAGTGAATACAGATAGAACAACTCCAAAAGGACAGAGTCTCCTTTAGACGTGCAAGCCAGTGCAGAATTTGGGGTAGAAATAGCAGTATAGGTTTCCACGGTAATGATTCGGTCATTAAATGATTGTGAGCTGCTATCCTGCTCACATTAGTGAATTATGCTGCAGTTAAAACCATTCATTAGCTGGATCTGTCTTGAGGGACATTTACTTCACAGCAAGGCTATTAAGATAATTTTTTTTAGCAGACATACCTGCTTTTAGCTCATTCAGATAACAAAGCAGTCTTTAAACAGGTTTTTAACCTGACACAATCATCCATTCTAACACCCAACCCTTTCATATTCAGGACTAAATACTGTATTGAACTGCAATTTTTAAGGTTCTGATGAGAGTAATAAGGTACCACCTCACAAACTTTAAACTGGTTTGTCCTCCAAGGGACATGTATTTGAGTAAGGAAGGATAGCACAAAACAGACTCTAAATTGATCCTGAGTTAAGGGCCAAACAGCAGGAATCCAATCCATTTGTAGGTGAAGTCAAGACTTAAATTTTTGTTTGATTCTGTAAATACACAAGGGTCTTTCAGACACTTTAGACACCCAGTTAGACCACTTGTTCTCTTCAGAGAGAAAAATACATCCATATACAGACCCATCTTCTCAAAAGATGGACAACTTGGCTACATTTGTGGCTGTGAGTTACCTTACACCCAACTGTCACACAGGTTGTTTCATGGATCCGTTTCCCTCTGAAGAAAAATTACTTAGGGAAGTAAACGGAGACTCTCTCCTCACTCTTCCTCACCTGTGCAAAACTGATCCACCACTTTAGTATTTTTTGTTCATACATGATTTTTTCACTCAGTTAATATCTGCTTAAAGGAAAGATATGTAGGGAGTCTTACAGAGTACCAACTATTTTACTGGATCCATTGATGTGCATCTTGCATGCAGATATTTGACCAAAATTGCATATGCATTAGCTCTGAAGACCAAAAAGAGGAGTCCATTCTTTTGAAAGCCCTTATATACCTATATTTTTAGTATTTTTGAGTTCAGAAGGAAGAACATACTTACTAGGAGGCACATAAAAGAGCTACAGTTCCAGCTCGACCCCATTTGCTCTGTACAGATTGATGTGCTCTCCATGTCATATGACAGAGGATGTGTTGTGCTGTTCAATAGCACCCTTATTCACATCCTGACTGCATCCAGTCCTGATGTATAGCAGTACTGTGCGAACAGATTGCTTTCATGACAGTTTTGAAACTCAGAGGGAGCCAGTTTGAATTGCAATTTTATTTTTAACCATCCTACAAGTGATGCCTACAATCTAAGACACAACTGTCTCCAACATGATGCCAGTGTAAATAAGTGGACTGTTCTGAATGGCTACCTCATATAACTTTAAAGGGCAAGCCACGACCGTGGAGAGATTCAGAGTACAAGAATCCACTTTGCAAACAACTTCGCCATTTTTTTTAGTTCTCGTCTTCTTTCTCTGGTGGTAACTACATAAAAAGGTGATGAATTAGGAAACTGCTCCAAAAACTACATGAAAGGACACACGTGCAGCTTGAATTCTGGATTCCTGGATTACTGAAATAGTATGACTCAGAGGACTCAATAAGCTTTCCAATCATCTATTTCACAGAAGTACTTCAAGTACTTTTTAAACATTTTCAGCTACAATCGTGTGATTATTTTAGCCCTTTGCACTTACACTGTGAAATGAACAAATTGAACAAGACTAATTATGCACATTCTTTTTGTACAGGATGATATTTATCTCAAGTGGTATAATTGGCACTTTGGTTACGTGTACAATATGTAATGGAGTGTAATACAGAGATACCAAGCTAACAGGAAAGAACATGATCATGGTAATTACAGCAAGAGTGTGGACAATGTGGAAGGGAGGAGAACTTGGAGCAAAATTAAGTTCCGGAACAAAAACTTCTTTAGCGACCACACTTGGGCTTCTCTAAACAGTTTTAGAATATTTTTACCAGTGAATAAATTGAAGTGCCATGCAGTAATTGCCTTTGCTAGACAAGAGCAGATTTATTTTAATCAACCAAATCATACTCCTTTACTAGACAGAAGCCCAACTCTTCCAGAATAAATGGCCACCGGATTACACAGTCTCTGGGGCCTTATTGCTCTGCCCGGATAATTATCCTATCAAGGTTTCCATGACAACTTTCTTTGGTTACGACTGACCCCAAGTAAAGCCATTCATTTAAAGTGATAGGACACATTTTGGTTCAAAGTTAGATGCCATGAAATTTCACTTGCCATCTTATTTTATCTACTATGACAGGACACTCACAAGGGATTCCCAACATGTTGTATTCTCCACTGGATTAAGGCTCCTGCAAAGTGAAATCCACTTTCCACTTGTGGAACTCTTCAGAGAAATCCAAAGATGTTGTCAGAACTGAATAGGAGAGAGGAAATAAATTAATCACATGGAAATAAGATCCCATGCACCAACCACACATATGTAAAAAGTGCCAGACACCATGTCAATTATCTACTTTTTGGAAAAGCGCGTGGACTCATTCAACATCTGTGCTGCATCCCATTAGAGGCAATACCATAGGGGCAGAAAGAAAACACCATCCTGGAGAAGGATTTCTGAGAAATGCAAGGAATTACCAATTAGCTACAAATTGCTTATTTAATTAATGAAGAATAAAATTATGACACTAATTATTCTTGTGCTAATAGACTGATTTAAGAATTGCTGATAAGTACTATTATTAGTCAGCAATGCAGCCATATCATACAGTATTTAATTTACTTTAGAAAAGATGAAACTGTAAGAGGTTAATAATCTTTCTGATTTATAGAAATTTAACTGCTTGCCTCCTGTTGCTGTTAGCAGCCATGTGGTTAAAAAACCATGCCTCATTTTAAAGAAATGAAAACAGAGATTTTTTAAAATTATTTCAATTCCTAATGTATCTCACAACAAAACTGTCCATTTTGTTGACATTTTGGGCTTTGCCTCATACTACAAAAAACACTTGTTACCAATATCATATTAAATGTATAGTTGTTGAGATGATGCTGAGTGTGCCATCAGCTGCAGGATGAAGACAATGGACCCTTGTGCTTTATAGCTGTTTTCGGATGTATGTACACACCATAATAACTGTGTAATAATCCCACCTTCTTCAAATTATGTTTCTGCTGACTTATTTGATTTATTCTGGACTTTTAACTTTTTTTTCCCTGAAAAATGAAGTAAATTCAAAAACTATTTTACATAGAATGTTAACTTAAATGTTGTAAAGACTTACTTTTGGAGAGGGGTGAAAAGGAGGAAAAATATATTAGTCATATCACAAAGTAAAGCTAATATATTAATGGTGAATATGAAAGAAGACAATGGCAAAGTTAAATAACACCTTGTTACAAAGTATAAACAAAATTTTATGTCATTTTCTTAGGCCTCTCACAGATGGTCACCTCTCACAGATGGTCACCTCTCACATAACTGAGAGCACGGAGCCTGCTCTGCACTGGAGTCTGCCTGCTTTATGGGGCTTAATTCAAAGAAAAACCGGGAAGAAACTTCATAGAAATGCCAAGCGTTCTGGGAAGTGCCCAGTCCATAGATCTTGAATTTTCCTGTTGATCAGGAATCACTGCGCACAGAGAGTGCTGGACTACACCAGGTACCACAAAGCTTCTAGCAGCCAGGACACCCTCAGGACAAGGTGGGAGGTCTAGAGAATGGGAAACTGCTGAAAGCTTTAACGAGAAAGATGAGCTTGAAGCAGGTAATTTGTTCTACCTCCATCTCACATCTAAACTGCAAGTCTAAATCTCTGTGTTCTCCGCCGGTTTTACTTACTTAGCAAATAATACATTGCAGTCTTCTCAGCCCCATCACTCTACTTTGGATTCTCGGTTAACAACCTAATTGATGTTTTCATAAAAATTTGGACTATTCTAGTAAAAAGTCTATACAGTATTAAGAGGGCATAATTAACAAATTTTTCTTAGGAAACTAGCCTCATTGGACCAGTCTTTCTCTTTGAAAGAAAAGCGCTCCAACCACACTGCCTGAGTTGCAAAGACAGGGACTGGGAGAATAAAGAACTGCCCTCTTGTAGAAGATCAGGCCCAAGACCATCAAACGAACCTGAAGATGCACAAGTCCATGGGACCTCATGAGAAGTGAAGTTTTCACTGAGTAGAAAAGAGGAAATATAATCCCTATTTCAAAAATGGGAAATAAGGAAGACCCAGAGAACTACAGGTCAGCCAGTCTCACCTCTGTACTCAGAGAGATCACAGAGCAGATCCTTCCGGAAATATGCTAAGGCACGTGGAAAATAAGGAAGTGATCAGTAACAGCCAACATCACTTCATTAAGGGCAAATGGTGCCTGACAAATTTGGTGGCCAGGGTTACAGCATTGGTGGATAAGAGAAAAGCAACTGACATCATCTGTCCTACAAGACATCCTTGTCTCTAAACTGGAGAGACATGGATCTGATGGATGGACCACTCGCTGGATAAGGAATTGGCTGGATGGTCACACCGAAAGAGTTGTGGTTAACATCTCTAAGTCAAAGTTGAGACCAGTGACGAGCAGTGTTCCTCAGGGGTTGGTATGGAGACAGGTGACATTTTAACATCTTTGTCAGTGGCATGGACAGTGGGACTGAGTGCACCCTCGGCAAGTTTGCTGAAGACATTAAGCTGTGTGGTGTGATCAACATGCTGGAGAGAAGGGATGCCATCCGGAGGGACCTTGACAGGCTTGAGATGTGAGCCCATGAGAGCCTCATGAAGTTCAACAAGTCCAAGTGCAAGGTCCTGCATCTGGGTTGGGGCAATCCCAAGCACAAGTACAGGCTGGGCAAGGATGGATTGAGAGCAGCCCTGAGGAGAACGACTTGGGAGTATTGGTGGATGAGAAGCTTGACATGACCTGGTAACGTGTATTTGCAGCCCAGAAAGCCAACCACGTTCTAGGCTGCATCAAAAGAATTGTGGACAGTAGGTTGAGGGAGGGAATTCTCCCCCTCTGCTTGGTTCTTGTGAAACACCACCTGGAGTACTGCATCCAGCTCTGGGGGGCCCAACATAAGAAGGACATGGACCTGTTGGAGCAAGTCCAGAGGAGGTCAATGAAGATGATCAGAAAGCTGGAGTGCCTCTCCAACAAAGACAGGCTGAGAGAGTTGGGGTTGTTTAGCTTAGAGAAGATTCCAAGGAGAACTTAGAGCCACCTTCCAGTACCTAAAGGGGACCTACAAGAGAACTGGAGAGGGACTTTTTACAAGGGTATGTAGCGATAGGACAACAGGGAATGGCTTCAAATGGACAGAGGGTAGGTTTAGATTAGATATTATGAAGAAACTCTTTACTGTGAGGGTGGTGAGGCACTGGAACAGGTTGCCCAGAGATGTTGTGGATGCTCCATCCCTGGAAGTGTTAAGGGCCCAATTGTACAAGGCTTTGAGTGACCTGGTCCAGGAGGAGGGTGTCTCTGCCCAAGACAGGCGAGTTGGAACCAGATGATCTTGAAGATCCCTTCCAACCTAAACCATTCTGTGATTCTATGAAAAAAATACTGTTGACCTTTTCTTTAAGACATGGACAGCAAATGCTTTTCTATGGGGTTTTTGCAATGTTATTCAACAATTACATATAACCATGGTATTTGACAAAAACTGTAGCCTATTTCATTCAATGGCTTAATGCTAGCTGGTCAGCCAAAAGCCACAGGACTTTATACAACTGAAAGATAGGTCTTGCTAAAAGCTCCTAAAAATACAAGTGCCTACATTCTTTCTTAGTCAATTAAAATAATTACTGATATGACACTCACATGCAGTAAAGTATAATATGACATCTTGAAATATGTTAGAATTAACTATCACAACTCAACGTATCTTTCTGAGAGGTCTTACAACATTGTGTGGACTTCAACATACACACAACCAACAGCAGAAACTGAGCACCTAATAGATACCAATTTGAAAAAATAAATAGTGTTTAAATGGTGCATTTGGGTGTTAAATGGGTTGGTGACACTCTGAAGACACTGAGACTTCAAAAAGTTTGCATTAAAAAGGAGTGGGGTTCAGAATGTATTTTTAATATCTAAGATTTTTTTCTTTACTATAAATGCACCATGGTCCAATTATAGTGAAAGCACAACTAGCAGTAATTCAACAAGAGTTTCCACAAGTTCTTTTTGCAACATCCATCCCCTGTTTGCTGCTCTTTAGTATTTCACTTTTCCTTAATTAGATCCCTGTAGTTACACAGAATTATTTGAATGGTAGAATCAATATAAGAAGTCTTGCTATTCTTTTAAACCAGCCTTGTCCTTGTCACTGTGACAAAACAAAAAAAAAGACTTGCTACTGCCATATAAATGACTGCATTTTCTATTATGAGGTCCCTGCCTAGCTTCCTCCTTTTCTTGTTCAGATGAAATTTTGCATCTGTTATTTCTTCAGGTAGGCAACAAATAGGAGAGGAGGTAAGCAAAATAAAAATGGAACAAATAAGAGAAAAATAAGGAAATTATGCAGGAGAAAAGCAGCTGTGGTGAGTTATAGTGTGTTTTGGAGGGCATTACAAATTCTTTAAGCTATGTCCTGCTAAACAATCCAAAACCTTAAACCTCCTTTCTTTTGCAATTACATCTGCTGAAATCTGGGACCAGAAAGGCGGGGTTAAATGGCCAGGAAGCAGGTACAGCTGAGACTCTGCAATCTATCAGCAAATGCTGATACCTTGGTGCGATCACACTATAAAAGAGACAAAGCCTGGCAGGAGGAAGTCAGATAGCTTTTTTTATAAGATCACAGCTTTTGATTGTACTTTGGATTTTTTTTTTTTGTGTGCCCTGCAATGGTAAGAATCTTCATTCGGAGTTGTTTGTTTTCTTAATCTGCTGGCATGTGTAATTTAATAGGAGGGGTTTATTCCCTTTTGCTCTCAGAACAGTAGAAGAATAGAGAGCTTGTCTTATGATAGTTGGTGTATTTATCTTTTTGCTGAGAAAGCAACAACTGCTGACTACCAGAGGTACTAGCTAGGTTGTCTTAAGACAAAGTATGTAAAAAGACAATATATACCAAAAGTGTGAGGGAGCTGACTGGTAAGATCTGGGTTAGGCAGCTGAACTGTAGCAATTTGGCTCTCAACATAAAGTAAAATTGTTTGTGCACTGAAGCATCTTATATATAGTTTTTAAGCTTAGAATGTATTTTTAAAATAGAACAGGTTAATTATCAAATAATTGTCTTGTATAAATACAAAATAATAAGCAAAGGGGATGAAGAGATACTGTCCTGTAATTTTTCACTAATGCAACATGAATATTCTTCTGCTTTTTGTTGAAAAAAGTGTTGATAAACTTAAGACAGTTGTTGGCTTCTAAACTGCAAAACTGATCTCTCT